GAGCTAATTAATGACAGATCATGCGTATGATGCGCTGCAACATTAATTATCGATTCTATGGTAATGCAAGCATTCTAAATATTTATTGCCGGAATTATTCACCTTGATGTGCTGCGTGTAACCGTACTGGAACGATTGCAATTCAAATGAACAAGATCGAAATGCTGGTTTAACAGAGAAAGGAATGTAAGTGACAGTGACGGAAACGTAATTAAAAAAAAAAATTAGAGGGAATAAAACACGTAGAAAAAATTATATTAAAAAAAAAAAGGACACGTAGGAATAAAATTTTTTCATGATGCATGTATAAATAGCGGGGAAAAAAGGAACATTTCACTTATGTGACATAATCATATGCTACTGCGTGTTATTATAAATTTTGCGCAGTGTTCTCTATCACGTTTATTTAAAGTTCAGCCTGCACTTTGAAATGTACGCATCCAGGCAAATGCATCGATACTAATCGTACGATTCTGCACACAGCGCTACAAGCACACTTTCCAGAAAAGAAAAAAAAAAAAAAAAAGAAATGGAAAATCTTTGTAAATTTTAGAGTGCGAGAAATGACAAACATCGATTAACAACGCTGTTTCAAAGCAATTGTTCGAGTACGTTATATATTAGAGAATAGTGCGTTTTTATCCAACCTGCTGCGTATTGTATAATTGTTGTTTCCATGTTAATGTGCAGTAAGTAAAACATTGATTAAAAAGCGACGTAGCAGCAGCAAATAGGATACAAGCATCATTATATGAGTTGTTCTGTGAAGGTATGTTTGTTAACAGAGTGTTCGTGAACATTAGAGATATCTTTTGAATTCTATGAAATTTGAGTAAAAAAATAAAAGATGATCTTTCAAACATAGATAATGATAGCAATTAGTTAGTATTTCAAGCACAGATTATTCTATCAATCTTTATTTATAAACATTCCGCTCTAAAAATTGTCACGCACGCTTATTCGCGAACTCTACGTTGCAAAAGTTTCTCAAGGATCGTACAAACCAAAAATTCAAAGATATCCTTCTCTCAAAAAGTTACTTCTATTCTCCAATTATTTATCACTAAGACGTTATCTGTCATTGTTATTCACGAACTCTCCATCGAGTACACGACATGTAATCGAAACTGAAATCTACAGAACGGGTATTGTGAAACACGCTACGTGATTTGAGACAAGAAAAAAAAAAAAAAAAAAGAAAAAGAAAGTATGCAGGAAGATTCTCTTTCCCTCTCTCTCTCTCTCTCTC